TCGTTGCCGAATGTGACATGTATGCAGGTTTATTGATCTCTATTGTGATATCAATAAAGTTTATCTTATCTTATCTTTGAAATGGCTTCTGTTTACCTACCCTATATCTGTCAGCAATAAAGAAAACAAAATAAATCCTGCAGATCATATCTCTTTGGCATTTTGGACTTGAAAGCTCTCCTGATCAGAGCTGGTGTAAAGTGTCCGATAGTGTCAGAGATATTTCACTCAGCTCTTTGATCTCGTCCTGAACCTCACATCTGTCGGAATGTTTGAAACAAGTCAGAGTGAGCGTTCCTGTCATTGGCCCTCTCAGCCGTCCACCGTCCACACTCTCCAGGCGCCACAGATTGAGAAAAACCCAAAGGCGTCCATTCAAAAGACAGAGTGTTGATATTGTGTTGACCCCTTCACCACTTTTGTCCCCTCCATTTACAAGTTAAATTTCCTACACAAAAATCTCCTGCTTCTTTGTATTACTCTGATCTCCGAAGGCTCAAACTTACGATCCAAATCTTTTATGATCTTTTATGTTTCACTCCTACGCTATGTTGAGGCAATACAGTTATTTTTTTCCCCAACATTCTCTTCTAATCTTTCAATGCCAGTTTTTGAAGTAAGAACATGCAGGCGGGTAGGGGGAATACAAATGTGCACTTGCAGATATCAACTTGAAACTGATTTGTAACCCAACAACTAGAATTAAAAATAATAATAATAATAATATAATTTTTATTTAAATAAATACATTGAAGGCTGACAATGATGGCACTTACTGTAAAGATGAAAGAAAGGATGACACCCGCACACTGTCCAACTTGCAAACACCAGTGGTTTATTAGCAACGTTGCTAATAAACCACTGGTGTTTGCAAGTTGGACAGTGTGCGGGTGTCATCCTTTCTTTCATGTTTGGCCACCTAGTGCGCGCCCACTCCTACGCACCTGTCATAGAAGAGATGTGCGAAGTCTACCTCACTTACTGTAAAGATAAAAGTATGGTTGGATTTAGTATGAGCTGAGAGACATCTTCGCAGATCTTTGTATTTATATTAATATACATAATATCCATGTGTCTCATCTGAAACCCAAGGGCCAGTTTTGCTCCCACTCAACCTTTTCTCCTGCTGTTCTCCAAACAAAGAAACTGCCTTGTTGCTTTGGAAACAATGGAAATCCATCCCAATAGTCCAATTACATAGAGCACAATTAAAGGAGATGGGTTGTATTAAACAGCCTTGATCCTATGTGCCTTTTGGACTGCACGCTGCCGCAGCCCACATCCTCTCATAGGCTCCGTTTGGGCTCATTAGAATAGTGTACTCTTAATATGGGATCTGCCTGATGCTCGTGAACCACTGCTGATCTCTGGGAATAAAGACACAATGGTGCGTAAAAGCTATTCACTACATTTTCTTTGAGTTAACTTTTTCATTTTAATATGAGGAGTGCATTAGGTCATAAACACACATGAGCATAGAAACGTCGCCTCCGCTGTCATCTGTCCTTCCCTCATTTGTAATGTTTTCAATGTTTGTTGCTGTATACCAACAATGCTGCAGGTGACTTGCTGACACTTTTAAGAGACTGAAATGTCCGTCCAGGCCACACAGCCGTCGAAACACAGTGATTGCTTTGAAAACGTCCTTTTCCGCCTAGTGATTAGTTACGCATGTGCCTCTAAAATCAGTCTGGTTAGAGGTTTAAAATCCCCTTGACGTTGATGAAAACACACACGCTCCCATATTTGTCAGTTCCCTGGTGTTACTCGTGCTCACAGCTCTCGACGTGTTGATTACAGGCGCTCCGCTGCTGCCAGCCCCACACTGTGCATCATGGGCTAGACACACGGGAGGCGACATCGCATCGCCTCCATTCATTTCAATGGGACGTGCGCGACATAGCGTCAATCGCTAGCGAGCCTCCTGCTCAGCGACGGGCGAAAAACGTGCGTGTGAAATCCTCCTGCTCGTGCATGTATCGTGCACGCGCAGGTCAGCGACGCGATCCCAGAAAGTTGAAATCGGCTCAACTTTTCGACGCTGTCGTCAAGCCGCATCGCGCCCCGTCTGTCATGTTATCTGAGCGACAGCGTTGAGTTTCGCTGATCGCTCTCATTTGTCGCCTCCCGTGTGTCTAGCCCTTCAGACTAATGTATGTGCAGCTCAGCGTCCATCTGTAAATGTGACCGTCCGTCATGTGACCGACCGTCATGTGACCGACCGTCATGTGACCGACCGTCATGTGACCACCGAACCACTCCCTTTTGTTGAACAGAAGAACCGGAACTGTTCACACTTGTTCGTCTCCAGACAAACTTCTCACCTCCATCTTGACTTGTGCCGCGCCATGGCACATGTAGCACCTCAGAATAGAGCCTGTTACTAGGAAGATTCAACACTTTGTGACAAGATTAGTTTAGTGTTGGATTTGCTCATTCAGACAAAGTTAAATGAGGCCATGAACCCCAATTGTTTGAATGCTAACAGGTATAAAAGTGAGATCATGTACATTTTTGAATAGAATTATTTAAAGTAAGAGGGGGTTGCTGAAAAAGGAAGCCAAAACCAGTTACGTCAAAACTGAATGTTAAATCAATGCTGCAGGGAGCTCAAAGAAGCCAAATGCTGTATAAATGTTCAGAACAAAATGTCCAATATCAAATGCAAGATATTAATGCAATGCAGTTGGATTTAAAACCCTAATGAAGACACATTTGCAGGACTTGTATGACTGCAGAGTACCTCGGATTGTCTTTGGATGGTACTACCTGCTCCAATTGGGTAACTTTTCTATAGAGCCTGTCTACTCTATTTTACCCTGTATTCACAGTTAAATACCTCCTCATCTGCTAAGAACATGATTTACTCATTACTTTCAACAAGAAAACAAGTACAATGAATTTGTTTAAAGCTCATCTTCTTCACAGCGTCATTTCTGTGTTATGATGATGTGATTAGGGATGCACTGTTATGTTTGGGCACCTTTTCCCCTTTGGTTTTATGTCTTATCTTTTTTTTGTCCAGGTATTTTTTTGGGTTTTATAGTTATTTTTTGTAAAATTGTTTTTTAGTTAGGGTGTCGGCATCGGATCCGGACGGCTCTGTATAGGGTTGGTTCGGTGTCGGCCCATTTTGTTTGTTTTGGCTGGCCCACCAGGCCCACCTTTAATTTGATTACTTTGGGTTTTTGTATTCTGGACACTGGATTGGGTTCCTTTTGATTCACCTTCAAATGAATTAATAATAAAAATTAGAGTTCAGCATGTATAAATAAAATCAATTTTTGAACTCTGAACCTGTCTCTGTGTCCTCAAATATGTTTTGTCCTTCGGGTCGTAACATGCAATACCCCCTTTTTTTAAACCGATACAAGTACGAGTTCCTTAATTGTAGTATTTGACGACACCGATACTATCAAACTAATATATGAAATTTCAACATTAAAACAATACTTTAATAATTATATATATAAAGACTGGTATTGAAGCATTGGCCATACTAAAACATCATGACATGTGAAACGGTTTAGCATAGACATTAACTATATTTAGTCTTAAGAGATGGAGACAGAATTAATCAGGCTGAAATCATGTGCAATGATTGAGAAAACCATATGCACATGACTTTTTTCTTAGTTAAAACAGCCCTTCATTTTCACAAGTGGTTTGTTCCTCATTATTTTGTGGGATGTTGAACACAACATTCCACAGAGAGTTTCAGTCTCCATACAAAAGACACCAGGTATCCATCTTTGATCTGTTCAGAGTTTGATGCTGAAACGAAAGGGTCCTCTCTTCTCTACCAACTGCCTCGCTCAGCAAAATAAGACGGTGGAGTCAGCCAAATCACTATGTACCCGACAGGTGAATTAAAAATCCATCTTTACAGGCCAAAGTATTCACAGCATTCACATTAGCATCCGTCACATAAACATCAGTTCAGAAGAAACGCTTTGAATTAAGACGGTGTTTCCACTAAGTCTATAACCTCCGGAGAATTAAGTCCTTCACACATTAATATCTGCTCCTAAAAAAAGACAAGAGGAAAATATACTGAGCAGATTTATGGACAGCGGCGGAATTTAAAGTCTATCTTTATGAGCTTAAGTATTAGCCAACACTTACATTATTACTCCTCACATAAAATGATATATTATTTATAAGGAAGAGGGATGAGAGCGAAAAAAGTGGATGAGTTAAACATGTTTTTCCACTTTAAAAAAAGGAAATACTTAAAATGGTCAGATGATATTTATAGATACAGTGGAACAGAGCCAAGACCTGGTTTTATGTCAGGGTTGAATAAGGATGAAATCAGGAAGGGGAAGAAAGAAGGAGACGGAATTCTTTAGGGCAAAACAATAGAGATAAAACTAAACTCAGAAGAAACTGCTGCTCAAAATAAAAGAATAAAGATGAATACTAAAAACAAAAATGGGGCAGACAGGAATAAGAAAGAAAGTCGGACGATAAATCAATGGCTCTTGCACTGTGTCCTGGCTGCTCCTCAGGCAGATTTGAGACTTGGTTCGAGCTTCTCCTCGGTGACCTCCTGCGGCTTTCACAAATGTGCTACAGAAGCTAAACGCATGGGCCCTGGAGCGACGGCACTGACATTTATAGGAGAAATGGGCCGAGCCCTATTTTGAGTCGTGGTTGAGCTGCTAATGGGTCAATGCAGCCACAAGCAAAGAACCAAAGTAGTGCAATAGTTATAGTATGAATCAACAACAAAACGTCTAATTCTGTAAACTATTTGGTTATACATTGTCTCTGAGGATAAGAAGGGTATTTAACATAAAGTTTACAAAATCTACAACTAGGAATAATCAGGACTAAACCAGGCAGCAAACAAAATCTTTCAGACATTTGAAAGACAATGTCAAGTTGTCATGAATTTACCCATTAACACGTCTCTGTTTCTGAAATAAACTGCTGTAATGTAAAAGTTTTGATTATTCTTTGACTGTTGAGAGAGATCACCGCACAGATGCACGCACCTGCACACTTGGTCCTGGTGACAAGAGGTGGTCCGGGGGGTCCTGTCCCTCCCTCTCCGGGTCGGGACAGCAGCACTTTAATCTCATATTCCACGTCAGGGTCCAAGTGCCACAGTTTGTAGGTGGGAGCGTCCACCACGTGAGTCTCGGCCCAATTTCCTGACGTAGTGCGGTACTCCACCTCCTTCAGGATGATGGGCCCGTCTCCAATGATACTGTTGGCGTTGGGTTTGATCCACAGGTAGGTGGCGCCGACAGCCAGCAGCTCGGGAGGGGCGATGGGAGTGGGAGGAGCTGAAAACAAAAAGAAAAGTTTCACTACACTTACTGCAAACAATCATACATCATTGCTGCCGGCTTCATTTCATTCACTCAGAGTGTTGAGAATTGAAATCCTGTTGCAAATGTGATTGATTAGAAAGCAGCCTTTGTGTATTAGTGACAGCTGTAAATGCAAATGTGTGACTTATGGCTGGTGCATTAGTCTGGAGTGCTCCTAAAGCTAAAGAGCGGCTCCTCCACCTGGGCCTCCATCCATCAGAGCTTCAGGAGTCAGTGACAGCAGCACAAACACATGAACGCACCATTTATAAACGTGTGTCAAGATAAAAGCATAGACCCTCTATAACTCCTTTTCAGAAGTGGTTGGCAGAGTGCAACAGCTGTGACAACCTGAAAAACCAGCCGGCAGGAATATTTGCTTTTGAATACTTGGACTCATGATGAGCTACATTGAAATTGTGACATGCAGTAAACATCTTTGTTTTTTCCCTTGTAAGGACGATTGTAGAAATTTTTTATAGCAGTGTATTCCAAATTGTTTGTTATTATTTTATTTTAGTTATTTTTTTAGTTAGTTATTTTATTTATTTGAGTCAAAAAGTTGAATCTATGAATCAGAGTTGCAGAGTTACAAACATGCAACAAATCCTAAAGGGGGCCCCAGCAGAGCGTTAATTGCGCCTGCTCCCAGACTTTTCCTTGAACATAATTCATCACCTCTCATGTCCCTGTGCGTCTCAGTGGGAGAGGAGAGAGTTACTGTTCCTCCATCTGTTCCGTTTCTCTTCCTCCTCCTCTTCTACATGTTCTCTCCATGTTCCTCCTCCTTCACTTTGATTCCTCTGTACATCACTTACATCCTGGAGTTTCGCACACTTCACACAGATCTCCCACAGACACACAACCTGCGTCTGACCACAAGTCGAATTGAGCTCTCGCAGTTTAACATTGACTAAGACTTTCCACTGATTTCACTCAGTCTCAGCAGTCAGATTAGTTTGGTTTCCTCTCAGCCAACGGTGCCTCCAATTGTCTGATTTGAGAGTGAAGTATACAAACAGAAAAGACAGCAGCCTTAGGGCCAGGTACAGGGGTCAGACAGCTGGACAACAGCCTTGAGTCGCTTGAAAATGTACTTTTTGGCCCTTAACACTCGTTTGTATAGGCCAGGGTATTGCCAAGAGTAACAACAATAGTCTCAACTTCAAGTTCTACCATACACAACATTGCCTATTATATTCAAACCTGAATACAATATAGGTCCTTCAACCCTTTGAAGGATCTACTGTATATTGCCCTATGATACACACCTGTTAAAATAATACACAATACCAGTTCAGGCACCTGCAGCGCTCACTCATATATCCTGACTCAGACACCATATTCCAGAATGGAAACTGTGGCTCAGAGCTACAGACACACTTTCTCTAAAAGGTTGCTGGTGTTAATCAGATATTTTTGCTAGAAGTAAATAAGCTTTACATTAAGGATGGCATTTCACAGACCAAGGTAACCCAACATTGTCTGTTTATTCACTCACAACATTCGTAGTAGTAGGGGCAACTGGAGACACAGAGAGGACATGCAACCTCCACACAGAAAGGCCTGTGTGGAGGTTGCATGTCCTGTTGAAGACCTTCTTACTGTGAAGCACAAGTGCTAACCACTGCACCACTGTGCCGCCCAGGGTTTGCTGAAAGTACAGATGATAGAACATAACAAATATTCTTTAAAAATGCTAAAACTAACCAACTGTACAGCATGTAAGTGTTAGCATTTCCAAAAAAAGAGTTCCAAAATTAAGTGCAGCTAAAGCATTACATCATCTTGTGATTCGGCCCAGTCTTTTGTTATAATGTAGTTGAGATTTACTTAATGTTTAGTTTGCTCTGAGTGACTGGGTTGCGGTGATGTGTGCACAGAGCAGTGTCCCTGAGGTCTCTTACTGCGAGTAATGAATTCACTATTCACACAGCGCCCAGCCACAACCATCTTTAATCAAAAACAAGCTTCACTCCAGACCAATGGCAGAGAAGGGAAAAACCCACACACACACAAAATAACAACGTTCAGACCCGCGGGGCAGCGAGGAATCATGGGTAATAAGATGTGTGCACTCCCTCCTCACAGTAACTCAGCGCGGCGTGCACCTGCTGCCGTATTACTCAAACTGGAAGCAGGAAAACAAAGTCAAAAGCTCAGATAAGAAACACTCACACAGAGAAAGACAGGATGTTAAAACGCTCTGCAGAATCTGACAACAACATTAATAGTAGCTCGGAACGGCCAAAGGAGAAATGTTGCAGCTATATTGCCAACGAGTTCCAAATTGTGAGGGAAAAGTATTTGACTTCAGCAAAATACCCAGATAAATTGTCAAACAGAAGTCGTGGCCTCTTCCTTCAGACTTGACAGTAAACCTATTCCTCTGAGCGGCTTAGAGGCAGAACCAGTGAGAAGCTTGGTTTGATAAAGAAATTGCAGCAAGAATAACCAGTGGAGGAGACACTGATCTTCTTAGCGCTCCAACATTCTGGTGGCAGTAAATTTGCCTTAAGAAGGTGTTTAGTAAAGCCTGTCCCCATGAGTGCACAGTGTAGGGAAGAGTTTCAAACTGGAAAAGACTGACTAGTGTTGTTGTAATTTGAATATTTCAAACTGGCCTTATCTAATACAGATTTTCAATTCAGAATAAAATTTTAGAATAACATTTATCATTATTTTAACTAAGGTCATTAAAAAGTGTCTCTTATTTTAGGATATATTATCATTATCATAATAACTAGCTGGGCCGACAGTGGCTCAGTTGGTAGAGCATTGGCCTTTGGGCCTGAAAGTCATGGGTTCAAGCCCACCATATGACCCACTTCACAACTCCCACTGATGTCTGCTGCCGTTGTGTCCTTGGGCAAGACACTTAACTCCACTTTGCCTTAAGCCACCGCTGAAAAATCAAGGCTCCTGTGGACTCACTACCTGCAGGAGGATTGGTGAGGGGCTGAGTATGTGTACCGGGTGCGGCTCTGACTGCCACTCCCCAACCCAGAAATGGATTAAGGGGAAGAAAATGGATGGATGGATAATAACTAGCCTACCAATACAATACATATGTTGAAACGGCAGGATACAAGATGTATCTACATACAGCTTCAACCAGAATACAACACATATCAAAAACGTATGTATACATATTATATCTTGTTGGAAAAAAATTAAATCACTTTTAAAAAATCTTAATATTATGTTTGTTTTTTTATTAGTGAAGATGTATATTCTTTATTCCGCATTGTAAGCAGGTTTCAAATTAAATACGGTAAGGGTGATTTGTATCCAGGAGACAAACAGTAACCAAGCTTGTCCATTAGAAATAACACTCTGTACTTTAACTGATTATTCTTAAATCACAGCAGTTGCATGTGGTTCCGTGAAGTCTTGTTGCATGTCCCAAGCTTGTTTCTGGTCTACCTCCTCACCTTAGTCCTTCCTTTGTTCTTTTTTCCTTCTCGCACTCCTCTGCAGCTGCTCATGCATTACTGATACCTCTGCTCAGGTATTCTGTGTGAAGTGTCCGGCTGACACGTGCACACAAAGACACATGAGAAAGCACTGGACTCTGAATAGAAATCACCAAACAGTATTCGCACAAACGACAGGAATTGGTAGAAGGCCTCAAAAGTTCTCCATTTCACTCTTATTATTGATTTATTGTTAAATTGCTTAGAAGCTTGCTTTGGGGGAAAAAAATAGAGAAATGTGATTGATATGATTCTGAGTTCTGTTTTTTTATTTTATCTTATTGCTGTGTATGAATGACTTCTATCCCCCCTGTTCTGATATAAGTTTGATTTGATAGTATTGATTAGTAGTTAGCAGTATCCTAGAAAGAATTCTCCTATAGAAGCTTCAATTTTGTAAAATCAAATTGGTGTCCATCCATTTTCTACCCCTTAATCCATTTCTGGGTCGGGGGGGGGGTGGCTATCAGTGATGCCACCCACATAGCACCAACCCCTTAGTGATCCTCTGCAGGTGGTGAGTCACAGGAGGATGGCTGCTCTATCTGTGAGAGCATAGCCTTGATTCTTCAGCGGGGGCTTCAGGCAAAGTGGGGTTAAGTGTCTTGCCCAAGGACACAACAACAGCAGACATCAGTGGGAGTCGGTGGAGAAGGTCTCATGGTGGGCTCGAACCCACGACCTTCAGGCTTTAAGGCCAATGCTCTACCAACTGAGTTCTAATTCACTCACAAGTCACATCACGATTCTTTCACAGCCCTGAATTAAAGAGATAAATGTGCAAGAAAACATTGTTTTCCTCCACGCTTCAGTGAGTATGAGCTATTGAAAGCAGTATGACATCTGCCTTCATCATCTAGGTCTCTTATTCTTCCATGTGTGAGCCGGAGATAAGCGCACACCCTCTGTCGGCCATCTTGTCCATTTGTGACATGGGGACAGTCTGGACTCTGGGTGGTCATAAAATGGTCTGTATCTGAGAGTTAGCCCAGCTGTGCAGTTGCTAGTGCAGGAAGTCTCCTTAAATACTTGTGTGGGTCCAGAGAGCTTTAGTGCAAACCCATCTCCTATCTGTCCGTTCACTGATAACAAAATCAATACACAGTTTACAGCTCAGGCCCTGGGAGTCACAGGGAGAGGGACACTTCAACTGGGCACAGACTTCCATTTACTCAAGACTGCAGACTTTAAATTAACTTTGGCTGCTTCAAAACTTGTCACACAGGGTCTAAAATTTAGAAGGTGACTTTTATTCACTATAAAAAGGTGTATAAACAATGTTCTAAACACTGCAATGTAATCACAGCCTTGAGTGCACACCGACCTGAAGAATCCACTCCCCAGGCTCAGAGCAGGCTGGCACTCACACACTCACACACACACACCTGGGTTCCACACACATCACACACTCATAGATCACACAGGCTCAGAGTTGTACAATAGGGACACAACACTTCCACATTATAAAAGACTCCAGGGTCCAGCCTGCACTCAGCTAACACATGCTCCTGACTCTGAAATCCCTGCGGAATTCATCTAATCTACTCAAAACACAGGCCGCCAGAAATCAGCAGACTTTACCGGATGTTCAAGGCTAAATTCAAACACTAATGCTGTGGCTGGTGCTTTATGATCGAGTGTAATTAACAAAAAATGTCTTGGCACCTTTGACGATGAGGTCTGCATAGTTGGACACTCCGGAGCCTCCATCCGAGCGGATCACGCATCTGTATCTGCTGGTGCTTCTCTGGGATGTGTCTCCAACGCTGACCGTGGCTGAGAAACGCCGATGGTTCACCACTCTGGTCACCATCAGAGCGCTGTCTTTACCGTTCCACTGCTGCAACACAAAAGGCAAAGGTTAGGCTTTGACATGGACCATACAGTTTTAATATGAGAGGAGTATGCTGCTCATGTGCTATAGGGTAGCATAATCACACTTTGGTAGTTCATAGTTGTGAAAACCACTCAATCAATGAACAAAACATTTGAAAATGAACTGCTTCCAATGTTCAAATAAAACATCAAATTCAGCTAAACCTTTAATAGATTTCTCAACCATTTGGCTGAGTCACTATATCTACTTTAAACATGCTTGGAACTGAAATCTATCAAATTGTTTTACCATCAAACTGCATTTCAACCATTTAGTAGAGGCCTATAAAAATAATAATAAATATTAAAAATAAAACATAAAAACACATGATTTGTTATTCATGCTCCCAAAGGGTTAATATTAAAATAACATGTAGATGTAAAAGCTGTCACTGAAAACGTCTGAGGCACTCTGTTAGAAATGTAAGTAATAGCTCTTTATTGCTTGGGAGAAGCTTGTAACATGTCCTATTTTAATCTCACTCCTCTGTCTTAATGGATTTTCTTTTTTTTTAACACATAATATTGCGTCCAAAGACCTCTAAGTAAAATGTAAGATCAATTCAGAAATGATGTGATTCCTCCCTATTTGCACTGTCTCTTTATATTTTATCCTTGTGGTTATACATAATAATCAGTGATTCACCTGAACCCAGAGCTTGTCGTTCTGAGACCACTTCCCTCCTGCCGTGCACTGAAATGTGGCGTTCTGGCCCACGTTCACCTCCACATTCTGAAGACGGAGAAAGTGTGGAGCTTTCCCTGCAAACAAAGAGCGTACGTGAACAAACAGACGGGAAAAGCAGCTGTCAGCAAAAGTACAGGCTTTCACACAGTTACTGATTCGGTTTGGTTCTTCTCTGCTCAGTGGCATCTGTGTCCAGGGTGTGCGGCTATTTGTCGCATTGTGGGGAATAGGATGTGCCTGTACTCTATTTACAGGAACCTGCCTCTTCCATGGGGGCCACAACCAACCCCTATGATGTCAAATACTGATTAAATGCAAATAACTTCATTTATTATATGAGTTGGACCATACGCGCGCTCTGATTGGTTGATTTGCGGTCTGATATTTTTCCAGCGTGTATCACATTTGATATCTTTCCACGGACCATTACCATGACAATCGGTCCACAGCCCGTATCACACAAAACCAAGTCAGACATGAACATACTTCACAAATATCTCAAATTCATTGGTAAAGACACAGACGAGAGTCATATCATAAAACATTTATTAACCTCGCTTGCTCGGTCTGTACAGAGAAATATCAGACCTTGGCCTTTTTGCACAGACCTCGCCACGGCTCGGTCTGTACATTAAGGCCGCGGTCTGATATTTCTCCATACAGACGTCGCGCTCGGTTAATAAGCCGTTAATACTGTATTAGGTCACACATCAGGCTACACACACTAAAGCAGAGTTACAGGAGAAATGAAATGTTACTTTGCGCATGGTGGCACGTCTGGAAAACAGTTTTGAAGTGTTGAGCCATTCTTCTAGCTTGATTTATTGTTTAAGTTTTGCTTTGTTTATTGTTTATTGACATACAGTATTCTCTACCAGCTCGAAACAGAGGAAAATCCTGTTTGAATATTCAAGCAAAGTCTCAAATGAATATTTTGTTTGTGTGTGCGTGTGTTAATGTGTGTGTGTGTGTGTGTGGGGGCATGTATGTTTTTGTGCGTGTGCATGTGTGTGTGTGTTTGTGTGTGTACGTGTTTGTGTGTGTGCGTGTTTCTTTGTGTGTTTGTGTTTCTGTGTGTGTGTGTGTATGCTATTGTGTATGTTTGTTTGTGTGTATGTGTTTGTGTGTGTGTGTGTGTGTGTGTGTGTGTGGGCATGTATGATTTTGTGTGCGTGTTTGTGTTTGTGTGCATGTGTGTACGTATATGTGTGTGTGGGGGTGAGCAGGTGTGAACGTGAGATAAGCCCAAAGCAGAAGCCACTTACGGCACGGGTGAGCCAAAACGCGGATATCGTCAACGCCGATGAACCCGGGATGGCCTTGGACCGACACCGCCTCGAAGATCACCTGAAACACAGAGACGATGTGAAGTCTGTGCCCCCGCTTTCAGCTCTGACGGACCCCTGGGGGAGTGCATGGGGGGCCGCTGAGTGAGTACTACATGGGAACATCCGCCTCTCTCCATCTGTTACACGCATATGCTACTCATCACTCCAATTTTTTATTTGTGCTGAAATTCAATCAACTTTAGTTTGTGCTTCAGAGTAGCAGCTCTATTTGTTTGAGAATAAGTTTAGGTGTTAAATCCCACTTCACTTTCACAAACAAAATTAAAAGAGTGGAGCGATTTGGCTTATAATATGGTAATTAATGTTAATACACTTACATTCAGTTAACACTTTTTAACCATTCAGATTTGTTTTCTACAATATTTTGAATGTCCCCATAAGGATAATTTGTCCTCTGCATTTGACCCATCTTACAATGCCACTATGGCAAGCTGTCAGGAGTGGTGGTCACTACTGCAGCAGTCATGGACCCATCTCCAGATGTTGATGCTCAGCTTGGTCAGGTCTGGAGATGAGGATTTGATCCATGGTGCAGGTTTGTTGTTATTGTTTTTTGCTTACTATATGGCCGCTGTTTAGTACTAATGTGATAATAATGTTTACAAGGCTTAGGGTTAGAATACAAAAAACTATAGCTCTATTTGACATTGTTCCCAAACCGGTTAGACCACAGAGGCCCCAGTCTACAAGCTTTGCACTTTATCTGATTGATCACTAGATGCTTTCAATGGCATCTTGTTACTTAGCACTGAAACTTTAAAACAGTCAATGAAATGACATACATTATAAGCAACCTTTGGAAAATGCAATCACACAACATATTTCAGAATTTGATTTTCACATATGCTCAACTGCAGCAGCACATGTGCTCTTAAAAGCACCTGCAGGTCTCAGTATCCGTTATGTGGTTACATACATGCCAGCATAGTACACATGGTCTTATTCAGATACATTTAAATCACTGAAATCTATCCACGTTTCATTCTCTTTGATGTCTGTTAATAGACTTAATAGCTTTTGCATACTTTGCATTCCTATCTTTTTCATTTCACAAATGTAATGACAGGTCGGTGTACAGATATTTGTTCGGTCGACCACAGCTCTGCTCACTGGCTCTCTCTCTTTGCTGTGGTGCATGTCTCCTTTGGGGTCTGAGCCCTCACTCATCTCCAAACAATGGCCTTCGTCTGAACTGCTCTGTCAGAGCTGTCACAGGAGCCGCCTCAACTGGAACTGAACAATGTCCACCAGGAGTCTGCTTCAGCAAGAAACTTTGACTCTGTTTGACTCCATTGTGCAGTAGTCCACGGATACATTTAGCTGAAAATATTTTATATTTCTACCGTATGTTCACAAGATTCTCTCTGTTAGGACAAAGAAAATGTAATTTTATTTTTCTTTGTATAAATAATATTAAGATATGGTTAATACATTTAGCTTAAAATTATTTCATTAACACTAATATTATAGTTGCTGAGTTATAAAAAGCAGCCCAAGCTAGGACCATGTTTATGTCCATGTTAGCGCAGTAAAAGCCAGTGTGTTTGTCTGTACTGTCTTTACCTGGTACGAGTTGGGCCAGAATGTGGAAATGGCCAGTTCAGCTTTGACCCATCCTTCAGTGACTGTGTCGGAGGTGTTCCACACGGGGTTCCCCTGAGCTCCGCCGTTCACCTGAAAGCAGAAGCTCTGGGTTCATTTCAGACACAGACGTTTGCTTTTGACTGGAGTAATTGGGACGTGCACCATCTGCCCGTCAGTGCTCCTCAGAGCTCAAGAGAGACTGCAGTTTGTGAGGCTGTCAGCTCCAAGTACATCAAACACAAAACACTGAACTAGAATAGGAGAACTGCAAATTACAAAAGCAGTTGTCCAACAAAGACTGCAATTTGACTGATATTTGTATTACTTGATAAACCACACAAATAGAGATATGACAAATTGAAAAATCCAAATGTCAGAACACAGCATTGCACGTCTGTTGTGGACACTTTTCAATCTGTCAGAAATGTGTAGAACAAGGGCTGCAGCTATCGATAATTTCCTTATCAATTAATTTTGATCACATTTAAATTCTCTCCAGTATCAATGATGTCAAATACAGATTGGGTGGATGTTCAATTGTCTGCCTTTTCCAAACAAACAAATACTACCCACTAACACCTGCTGCAGACGAACCTTAACGTAGACGTTGAGTGTTCCGGGACTGGCCCCGTCCCGTGAGGACAGCGAGTAGAGGAAGTCGATGCAGTGGGTGTCGTTCTCTTTCAGCGTGGGCATGTACAGGTGAGCCTTCTGTCCAGAGGCACGGCCCGAAGCATTCACCACCATGTACGAGCCTAGGGAGACGCAGAGCGCAGGTTAATGCAGGGATAAAAACATTATGAAGGTATGCTGTCGGCCATTACAGTAAAAAAACAAATTACTTTTTAACAATACATGTGCTCAGGTAAGTTCTTAGTTTTGGGTTAGGGTTAGGGTTAGTGTTAAATGCAGAGAAACAGGTCAAAAGACTGTGGCCCCATCTTCACGTTTAGTTTATGACAAACCTAAACAAAAAATTGGACTGATGGGGCCGATATGTCCACAATTCTGGTGAAACAAGGAGCTCAATAAGTAAAAACCCCATCCAAAAAAACATCATGTTGTTTACAGATTTGTATACCATAATTTTCACCACAAACTCAGTTTTGAATAATTGTTGTCAAATAGATCTGCAATTCCACCTTAAGATATGCAAGTAATTATACTCTATTCTGTTTTTAAAACACACAAAGAAAAGTGCTTGCTTTAAAAGCTAACACATGTAGCCGTTAGCTTGGACCGCGCCTGTGGAGGTAACATTAGCCTAGCTGTATTAGCTTAGCTTACAACAATATAAACTGCAACTTGTATTCAAAGTCAAAACCCAAACAACCCTACTATGTCTTCACAACTTCACATACTTACAAATATGTTTGCTGAGACTGACCACTAGAGCAGAGAAAGACTCTATGCTACATTATACATTAGCATTAGTTACGTGCCTTGGCCTTTAGATGGCGCTGTTACATACAGGTAAGTACCAATGCTACTATTTACTGTTGGTGGAAAGAGTAACAAAGAAACTAACTAAAGAAACTGTTAACTTTCAGTGACTGTATTCTTAATTGAATACAAGTAAAATAAATAGTAACTCTAGTACAGTTTCTCAAAAAGTATTTTTAATCCATTTTCTTGGTACAAACATACAAATCATTATTTCATGGCTCGTGCAGAGTAAAACTCCAGTGGAACAGCGGGGAGAAAAAGTGTTAAAAGTGTTCAGCTCAGAGGCACAGCAGTTGCTTCTCACTGTGAATACCACTGAGGCCTTTCTATGGTTTTGATGTCGACAGCTTTTGGAAAAACAACACTCAAATCTCAGTAGTGTGAGCGAGAACAGCTGGTCCCGCGTGGCCCTGAACTGGAACTATAAGTACAGAAATGTCCCACTTATTCTGATGTCCACAAATGCGTCTGTGTGTGTTTGGTTGTTCACATGTAACAGGCCTCACAGCTGGAAGTGTCCTCAGACTTCACAGGTTCACACAAGTCTGACACAGGTCTGACATGTGTGTGAACCACGGCTCTCTGAAGCACAAAACACCAATGCACTTTCTGGACAATTCCAGATCCAACCACTCAAGATTCAATTCAATCCAAAACACTTTATTTATCCCCATGCGCAATTGAAAAGCACTGAGAGTAGCAGAGTTAAAGAATAAGTTATACAGTTTATACAGGAATTTAGTGCGTTAATGGTCACTCATTGTAGTGGTTGTGTGAGTCCATGTATGTTTTAAAGAAACATGTATTTCCAAATTATAACATCCAAGATCTCAAGTATGAACAGCTTTACCATAGAGATGATAAAGAAAGTCATCCACAACTACCACAAACGTTTTCAAGCTCTCATAGGGAAAGGCAATTGAGAACTGGGTGATAAGATGTCATAAGATAAAACTTCATTGATCTCACAATGGAGAAATTGACATGTTACATTTGGCATCACTCACTCAGGGTGTGAACAGACAGGAAATGTCCAAACGTGTTAAAAATTGAAAAATATATAGGGTATGTTATGTGCAATAAAAAAGTAACTATGGACACTTCTTGTGAACAATATTTTTTTATTGCATTTTTAAACATAATCCCTACAATCACACAGACATAGAGAAAAAACAAAATAAAAAATAAAACAAAACCAGGCAGTCCCTAAGAATAGTAAAGGATGCAGAAACAGAAAAGGGTTATGAATATGTATATACACACACGTGTTTTGTATATGTATGTATATACACACACACACACCCACCCACCAATGAAAGTAGAAAAAGAATAAATAAAAAAAAAAAAATAGAATAATAATGAAATACACATGCATTCATATACAAGAAAATAGAATAAAAATAAAAATAAAAAATAAAAACATAAATAAAAAAAACAAAACAAAAATAAAAGTATACATACATACATAGACGTACACACATTCACACAGAAAAAAAAGAAAAAAAAAAGAAATGAAAACAGCAAAAAATGATAAACATGTTCAACACACCATACCTAACAGGTACAAACTTACACCCTCTCATGCGCACCCACACACACACACTCTCTCACACACACACACACACACACACACGGACGAGAGTGCCCTTGCAAATATAGTATAGCATTGTTACATGGGCATCTGTAGATGTATGCACATGTCTCTGTGCTTATATCTCTATCCCACATCCACATGAGCCATCATACCAACATGTACATTTCAATTATGCTTTTCACGGTCGAAAACTACTTTCAGTTCATAGCTCCTTGGAGGGTCTCGCTCGGAGTTGAAAGTCCAAACGAACCGTCCTATGACTTTATGTAATTCAAAAGCGGATTCCAGCAGAGCTCCCATTTGTGTATGCTCCCTGCAGATTTAAATCTATGTTTTTCCATGTGAATGATGTTCACCAACTCATTCAGCCAGTTTCTGAAGGATGGTGCTCCTGGACTTTTCCACTCTGTAAGAATGAGTCTTTTTGCTACGATTGTTCCCAGTTGTAGCGCACTCCGTAGGTGTTTGGGGAGCTTGTCTACCTCTGAGGAGTGTCCGAAGATGGCCATGTCTCTGTCCACTAGTAGATCTATGCTGTAGATTCCAGAAAAAAAGTAAAAGATGACTATGGACACTTCTGATCTGGATAATTTAAGCAGTTTCTGTTTCTATCATTTGAGAAGAGAAAACGCATGTACTGTATTCAACAAAAAGTTCCGTCACATCAACATCATTGTATGTACTGTATTCAACATCAAACATCATGAATTCTTTTTCAACCCCTTTATTAGTCCATTTCTGGGTCGGGGGGGGTGGCAATGAGAGCTGCCACCCAATACTCATAGCACCGATCCCTCGCTGATCCTCCGGCAGGTGGTGGGTCCACAGGAAGATGGCTTCTTGATGCAGCCTTGTACTTTCAGCAGGGGCTTAAGGCAACGTGCGGTTAAGTGTCTTGCCCCAAGGCATTTGTGGGAGCAGTTGGAGAAGGTCGCATGGTGGGCTCTAACCCACGAACTTCAGGCTCAAAGGCCAACGCTCTACAAACTGAGCTACTGTCGCCTCCTTTACACACATTAAATATGAGAACAAAAATGTGTATTCTTTCAAGCACAATTGTAAAAGCAAAAGTACTGCCATGCTCAGTGTTCAAAGTGCCGGATTGGGGCTGTACAACAATGAATAGGATTGAATTGCTTACATTATTTGACATAAATGACAGAATGCACATTAACTTCGCAATCATGACCAGGCTCTGCTCAGCTGGGCTTCTCACACACTTCCACGCACAGTTTGAATTCCTTTTCCAGCTTTGCACCGGCCTATTTGTGCACACTTTTAGCTCCACATTATCACAGTGGTCTATTTTTGACGGCTAATACAAGGCATTTATCTTGGTGGGTTTGATGGGGCTCAGCTGCAGGTTATTGTTGATTCTAGGTCATGTCTGTTCGTCACGTAAACTTTTGACAATTCTTTTTTTTTATAACCTTGCTGTAAACAGGAGCTTCAGAGGAGCTCCCCTGTCCTTCTTTTAGCAACTAGAAAAATATCAAAAATTAATTAAGAGTTGGCATTATTTTAGTATGCAAAAGTGGAGGAGTTTTTGTATATATGCGAAGGCCGCAGCCTTCCATCGCTGCAGGACCTGTACGTCGCCCGAGCTCGAGGCCGGGCTGGTCGTATCACAGCCGACCCCTCTCACCCTGCACATGGACTATTCCAACCACTCCCCTCAGGCAGGAGGCTGCGGTCCATCAGGACTAGAACCTCCCGCCACAAGAACAGTTTCTTCCCCTCTGCTGTTGGACTCTTGAACACTTCTTAACTTGTCCCCCCGCCCTTTATAAAGTCACTTTACTGCCCATCATACCTCACTTTACTTCACTGTACTGCTGTCACCTTACATTGTGTGCACCATGTGCACTTGTATATTGTAAATAGTAACTGTAACTCTATTTTAAATTTAAATTTATTCTTTAGAAGTGTTTTTTATTCTTATTTTTATTATCTCTTTTTGACTGTTGCACTGAGCCAAAGCAATTTCCAAGTCTGTGACCTCCCGTTACTTACGTTGGCAATAAAAATGATTCTGATTCTGATTCTGATTCTGATTCAAGTACATACGTAGACCAAAGAATACAACATCAAAAGTGCGAATCCCAACCCACATGAAAACCAGCGTATACAGTATATAAGGCGACAGTAGCTCAGTTGGTAGAGCATTGGCCTTTGAGCCAGAGGGTCGTGGGTTCAAGGCCGACTTTCACCATCAACTCCCATTGTCTGCTGTCGTTGTGTCTTTGGCAAGACACTTCACCCTCATTGCCTAGAATGAGTCTGGTGTGTGTGAATGGTTGGTGGTGGTCGGAGGGGCGCCCTTGCTAACTATTAGAATGTTGTTTACTATTTTTTTTAATGGTCTTGTGTTTTATATTACTGTTTTATTCCTCATGGCGTGGACTGGACTTGTTAAGTTATGAATATGCATAAATAGACTTCACTTTGTCTAAGACAATCTGTAAAAAGTGTTTACAGATTGCGGTACATAAGATGGTACTGTAGATATTAAGGCCATCTGTTTTCTTTTAAAAAAAAAAATCCTTTTTTTGGATATTTAATATATTTGCTTTATCTGCAATTTCATGTCCTCTGGGGATCATGTAGTCGTTCCTTTGCTTCATTGTTAACATAAAGAGACATTCTGACTGTCCAATATTCCAGTAATTTTCTAACTTTTTAAAAATATATTTTTTCATAACCACACAATCCTCT